TGAAAGAACAGCACCTTTAATTACATTTAAAGTATTTACATTTTTAATAAATAAGTTAGTTATAAACTGAATTACTTCTTCAATACATTTTTATTTACGTCTTTATTGTCGTCGTTCTTTTACTGCATCTTGAGTCTAACTCAACTAACAAAACGAAGAATAAAACATTAAAAAAATTATACGATGAGTAATCTGTACGCCATCTGGTATTCAACATTGGCACTACATATATATATATATATATAAACTTTCGGTACAGCCGATTGGAACAAAAAGGGGAAGAGAGGCACAAAGAGATATTATAGCAGTCCCATGTAAAAATGTCAACAGTCCACAGCTAATAGTTTTTGAGTTCGTGTTGAAGCTAATCGCTTTTGAGTATGTTCAAACAGAAATACAAACATTATGAAAAAATCCATTTTGAATCCATTTTGTAATCCGATTGGGTATAGAGTCCTATAGGCTATCCGTAAGTACAGACGTCATAAAAAATAGTGAAAATGGATTTGGGAATGGACAAAATGGATATTTCGTTGAATTCTAAAACAGGGAAATGTTCGCGATTACAAATCTTGCTTTACTTCCTATTCTAAGTAAAAAGAAGTATAGCAACACTTAACATTCTGTAAACGTAAACATCGATTAACTGAAATGCGTCCACTCCACACACCCACACTTTTTTTTCTCTTTGCCTTTTCTAATTATATATTTTCTAATATAAGTTTTTTATGGTAGTTGGGATAATTATAGTGTGACATCAAGGCAAGCTTTACTATTAATAATTTCAAAATCTGAATTAGAATGAGATTCATTGTGAAGACGTTCATTATTAGAGGCTTTATAAACGTCTAAAGAAATACCTTTTCCATTTTTAGTATATTCCTAACATACAAAAATATAAGTATGAATACAAATGGTTCGAGTGAAAATAGAATAGTGTTAGATCTGTTAAATGTTACATCGAGCTACAGCAATATTGGAAATTCTGTATATTTAACCTTTTATTTTGTGTCCTTTTTATTAAAGGGAAAATAGTCCTATTTAAATAATTTCTAGTTTATTTTGTAATAATATTCAGAAAACGTATCATAGTAAATAAAATTACTGTAAGAATAAGGCATGATATCTGAACTCACTTTTAGTTTTATCTATCAATGGCAAAATTCTATTGAATGTATGCACTAAATAATAGAACACGTATAAGGCTAAAAGTATAAAACAGCAACGCTTGCCCGAAATAGTTTTCCTTCTCCGTCTTAAGAATTTCTCGTCCAGTAAGCATATTTTACATTTATCCTTTTTTACTATCTACTTCACCAAAATGTCCTAAAAGTTTCATTTCGATCGAGAATTGAACTTAGGATTTCTGAATCACAGACAAGTCTTAACACTATCGTGAGCTATCAATCGCCCTAGTACTTTCATTTCTCGATCAGTAGGCGGCCAAAGTGATTACTTCTTCCGAAAGAATTTATTTCTATAGCTTCAACAATTTATTTGTTCTGAGTAAAGAGTGCTTAGGTAATTAGAGTGATTATTCTTCCACCTACATTTCATTATTTCGCCGCAAATGAATTAAATAATATTATTATATTCATTATACATAATCTTGAGTTTAAATATATTTCGTAACTGAAATTTGAGATTGGAGAATTTGCTTAGTGTATTAAAAAGAAAAGAAATTAATAACATGGACGAGGTTAGGAAGAATCTAGGGATATATTTCTTAACCTAATTAAGTAAAAATCGTGAAAGTAAATATTCCTCGATATATTATATTCCATAAGGTATTGAGGGAATTATCATCCACTTTGACAACCGCGTTTACTAATTTGCAAGATAACATTTTTCATTATGGAGATTACCAAATCAAAATCCGGAAATGTATTATTTGATGTGAAGCATTGTCAAACATGCTTAGGAATTCATTTTTATACGAAAACATTACATAAATTTTGATTTTAATAAACACTTGTAAGGTTTCAGATTTTAAATTACGTCCAAAGGTTTTTTTTAACATTTTGTGTGTTACCTTTATTTATTAAATTTCATTTTCTTCGCACTTAAACCATAAAATTCAGTTCAAGAGCAATATCATAAAATAATTTTAAAATGAGCATATGTTTAAAATTTCCAACACACAGTTTCGCTTGGATATAAAAATGTTTTTTTCTGTGCAGTGTTGCTCCCCGGGGGTGGTTGACTCAGGCGAATTCCTGGAAAGCACCGGTTAGGATCTGTACCTAGGCAGTCTCAACCACGGGGGTGTAAGACTTCACAGAAGGCCTGAGGACTCTCGGGACAGAGTAAGGCTCAGCAGGCACCGTCCGGGTACTGCCTTGTCTGCCCTTGCTCTGTGGGGTCGCAACATGGTAGATTATAAGTTCCATGGAGGTAGGAAAGGGAGGAAGGGCCATTCCGCGCTAGAAGTGAAGCACTGCTTTCAAGCTTGGGTCACCAGACGGGGTGTTTTTTGTTTACATTCAGAAGCTCGCTTGACAAAATTCTGATAGTATTTCGACACACGACAGTTCCATAGAAATCGAAAAAGGGACACTCTCGCATGAAAGAAACATTCATAGTGTGATGGATGATAGCAATTTGTATAGTTTACTGACATTTACGCAAAAATCACATCTTGGTTATTTTTCGAAACTAACAACAGCGATTTTGATTATGAATTTGTTTTATAAAATTCTAGCTGTTGCACTACAAAATATAGATTTAAGAAATTGCTAAAAGAGATCTGCCAAAATTTATTTTCTAGAAGATTTGAAAAGTTTGAAACTTGATGGCTAATGTAAATATAAAATTATGTATGTTAAAATATTTGTATTAGGTACATAGGTCAGATTAAGTTTTTTATTAAATAGAGTAACGCATGCAAGGGCTATCTGCCTAAAGAGAGAGATGCCATCGTGGGGGAATTTGAAGAAAAACTGGACCTGTATGCTAAATTAGTGTAATACTTATACGAAAAATATAGTGAATGCACAGAAATTAAAGATTTGCACATGCCGGAAATGATAAATAGGAAATATGTATGGTATTTATGCATGTGCTTGCAAAAAGCATGTATCTGCCTTTGACAAAATACTTAAATATTCATTAAATTATTTATAAATGTATTTGAAATGAAGAATTTATTCACTTATAAACAACAGTGAAAGTACTGTGAAAAAATCTAATGATTAAATGTATCTAATTTATAATGATTATAAATGTTATCTAAATATATAATAACCTTAATATTGAATTGTAAACATAAATTGAAATCCTGTTGAACAAATATGTTATAAAACTATTTAAGCAAGAATTGTTCGTATTGGAAAGCAATCTGTTAAAAGGTATTGTAAAGCAAATGCTATGGGATGCGCACTTAAGAACGTAATAAAGAGTTTTGGAATATGTATTGTTGAAATGAAGGGTAAAAAAAAATCTGATAAGTATAATTAAAAGAATTATTCCCTTTACATTTTATAATAACTCAGTTACAAGTTTTAAATAATACTTAAAAAAAAAAAAACTTATTTATTCCCTTTCAGAAATGTTCAGAGAAAGTCAAATACTATTTATACCTATTTTTATTAAATTACTATTTAAAGTATTTCGCTAATTCCTAATAATTCTCTAATTTAAAATGAACTGAATAGAGCATTAATTATAAATTGACTTACATTTTTCAATTTAAAAGAAGCCAAAAAAATCATGTCATATTTAAGAAAGTATTTTAGGAAGAAGCTCTATAAATAGAAAAGAAATAATGCATAATTTTAATATAATAATAAATAAACTTTGATCTTAATTTTTGTACCTTAACCGAATAAAATCGAATTACCTTAATTTCTTTTCTAATGTAATTAACGAAAACTTGTGAAAATATTTTCATTCAAATTAAAACCATTCTGAGAAAACTGTCCGTGAAAAGTATAGCATTTAATTCCGTTCAGAATGAAAGGTTGTTGTTTAAAATATGTTGTTTTCATATACTTAGGACTCTGAAGTGTTGTAGAAAAGAAAATATATACATTTATATGTATATTTGCGATGTAATTACAAAATATTTACACCCGAACGCGTCTAATCCCATAGAACTCAATGGTAAATGACCCAATGTTTTGGTCACCACGTAGGGATCGCCGGTGCTTCAGAGCAGGGTACGGAGAAACTTGTTTAGGGCGACTCCTTCTTACTTCCTACCTCCATGATAAGTTCGGTGGGGTGGCACTTAATTCCGTTTGGCACAAGCCTCAGGTCGGAAGTTGCCCTATCCGCTAGCGTTGTACAGCGTTGCCATTGCTCGCTTTGAAATCCTTGAGTTTTTTAATCAAACATTCGTTAAAAGCTTTACAAAATATCAATTCGTTAATAAAACAAATTCCAAGATTCCAAATTAGGGCTACCAGGTACCCGTATTCGGTGAAAGGATTACGTTATTCAAAATTTGATGTCTCTAGGTACCGTTGTTTTATTACAATGCGAGAAACATGCATACATGGATGCAGATTCTTCATTATTTAATTTCTTTAAATATACTCGTAATACAGGTCGATAATTTTTGGTGGCAACAATTTGAAAAGTGAAACAACGCCAGTAGTGAATCAACGGAAAATGCCAAAACGAAATTAAAAGTGTTTCTGGGCAAATTGCCAATCTGGACTTTAATGAATTAATTCTTGATAATTACTTAAACTAAAAAAATCTCAAAACTTTTGAATTTGATGATGAATTAAACTAATTAAACATGTGTAAATTAAATTAAATTCATTAAATTCAGCCTCTTAGAAAGTAAAATAAAATGCTTATTCTTCTCCAGAACCTTGGCATTCAAATATATTTTACAGTAATAATGAAATAGGAAGTAGTATCTCATATCAAATTCAAAATGTCACGAAGATCAGAGATAAACATATTCACAACAATTTGAAACTTATGCTTTTAAATAAAACGTTAAGTTTTAATCACCTCAAATTAAATGTGAATTCGCATTCCTCCAACAGTATCAAACACTTGAGTGAAGTGTCAATAGTCTTTCACCAGATGCCATGGGGCCTACTGATGCACTGAGCATTCAGAAGAGGATCTACTCACTCACCACTGCCAGTTCAGAGCAACGAGATTTATACCTGTTATATGAAGTCGTTGGTTCAGAGTGCTACTGACATCTGGGCGCCTAAGTAATATTTATTTCTATAGCTTCAATAACTTATTTGTTCTGAGTAAAGAGTGCTTCGGTTATTATAGTGAAGTTTGAACCACATTCATGTACAATTGTAGCTGACTTGGCAATAAAATTCACACATTTTAAATAACAAGTGTGTAATTAAGACAATGAAACAACACAATTTACAGTTCTGTATTTTTTAACCAGAAAATCTTACATACTAAGTACACAATAAACTAGAGCAGATATCTGAAATTCACAGGGAAAACTTGTCCCTCCGAATGAAGGTCACCAGCCATTATAGACGTTGACCATTACCAACACCTTCTTAAACACAAGCCTCCCTAATGAAGGCTCGTAGCTTAGTGACGTCACAAACTGTTGGCCTTCTCGATGGGGTGCGAAAAATCGCCCCTAAACCAAGGCCATCTAGATGGCATTAGCAAGTTAGGGGAATTTCGTCCTTGGTCGTGAGAAGGCGCGTGAACCATGTCGCCTTAATTTGATATTGATATTTTTTTATATTTATTTTTTTTTTTTTTTCGATTTCAATCATGCCTTTAAAGTGCTGTGTGCCGTTATTCCGACAAAATTATTGTGACGGTTCTAAAGTATGAGTATATAGATTTCCTAAGCAACAAGATGTATTACATAGATGATTAAAATCGATACCGCGAGAAAATTTTACCATTTCGAAGCATTTTCGGGTAAGTTAAGCCTAACTTGAAATTTAAATTTATTAAGGTATTTGCTTCTACATTTAAAAGAATGGATACGTTAATATTAAGGAATTTCATTTTTATAGAATACATTGTGTATAATATTGTGTAATTACGTATCGATTAGTATAATTATGTATCGAATTGTATGGTTAATAATTATGTATCGAATTGTATGCTAAATATTCACTTACTTTTTAAAATGTCCAATTTTTTACTTTTTGATTAATTTTATAACTTGGAACTTTTAACTTCATACGTATATGGCAGCAAATGAAATTATTTAGCTTAATATTTAATATATTTTGGTTTTAAAAGTTTTTCTAAAGAAACTGTGAAGGCAATAAATATGCTTATGGTTTTTTAAATTGTAATATAAAGCGCACAGTTTTGCGTAAAACAAGAAATAATTTAAATTTCTAATGCATGAAAATTCAAATATTATTAAAACTTATGTCACTAAGAATCCTTTCCTTCCCCCCCTTCTCGAGTGGGAGACAAACACACATATGCTTGCTATTACCTGTTTTGTTAAAATATAAATTGCATTACTAGAAATCCTACTTTTATTACTTTAAAATTAGTAATTAGGTAATTACAGTAATCTGAGTGAGCTTTCATCATGTCTAAAAAATGTTAAGATACCTGATGATTTAACAGTTGTGATTAAAGAAAATAGTATATTTTTTCTCCAGATAAGCACAGAATTTGCTCCTTTTATATCTGTATCAGTCGTTATCCATAATGATCTGCCTGTGGAAGCATATTTTAGAGATATTCCATTAACAAAAATTAGTAACCATGAATTCCCTTTAAAAATTAATGATGTGCATAATCTCTGTTCATTGCTTAAAGAAGTTGCAAAAATTAAAGGTGATAATAATGAAAACAGCTTTAAAATTTATTATTCGTAACTCAAGGCCTTCGGAATTAGAAAAAAAATGCCCTGAACATAAAAAGAAAGTAGTTCAGTTTATATTTGAGCAGCTGACATTACTCGTTTTGCATAAAAATAATAATAGGTATAGTTCTGATCTGTTAATATTATCAAGTTTGATGTTTTCAATTTCTCCACATTGCTATAAATTTTTAAGAAATAGTGCATATGTTACTTTGCCACATCCTTCTACATTGAAAAGATTGTATTCTGAATATAATGTTGATCCTAAAGTGGAGCAAACTCCTGAAAATTTCTGAATTATGCTAAGGAAAAAAAATCCGCTTTTTAGACGAAAACGATAATATGTCACTTTAATGGTTGATGAAATTCACATTAAGCCATTCTTAGATTTCAAAGGTGAAAATATAATAGGAATGTAGCAAAATATAATTGTGAAAACGCTGCTAATTCTGCTTGTGTTTTTATGCTGCAGAGTATTAGATCTTCATATAAGGATGTTATAAGTATTGTCCCAGTAAAATCATTATCAGCACAATTTTTGCATGGATATATTGTGAAAATAATAAAAGGTTTAGAAAATTTAGGTTTTTCGTGTAATATGTGTGCTTATAAATCTACCCTGCTAAAATTTTAAAACTTCTAATATCCTTAAAAATATTTCCACACATCCTTCTTATATATTTTTTATGCAGTTAAGTGACTTGAATATTATTAGTATGGAGGGAGATTCCAACATTACCTTCAACTGTTACTTATCAAAAGTCAACCAGTACTTTAAAGCATCATTTTAACTGTAAACATACAATATAAGATCATAGAAAAAATTAATATATAATATATGTTTTGTGCAAAGGAAAATGTTTCCAATATTATATCCGCGAATGAATTGAAAATATATATTTTCAATATATATAAATAAAAAAAGAAAAATAATATCTACCTCATTAGTAAAGCTTTAAAAACATATATAGTTTAAAGGCAGGTAGTAGGTGACCAACGGCGATAGTCAGCCGCCAGTTTGTGACGTCACGATCTCATAGTTGGGCTTCTGTTTAAGAAGGTGTTGCCATTACTAAGGCAGGAAGCGGCGGTCGCTTTATTATGGAGACACCTAATGGGGGATAACCCACCGTTGCCTCCTGAAAAGACAGCCAATTTACATCCACCTCGGGATTTGAACCCGGACACTTCCCTAAGGCTGTCCAAGTCACTAACCATTTTCCCGTCTAGGTGGTTTACAGGGAAACCTTAAGAACTTGAAAAAAAAATTAGCTGAACGAATCTAAAGCGTTCTCCAGAAGTAGTAACGAAAATTAGACATAGTTAACATGCGGAGGAAATAAAATTTGGACCAGACGAAAAATTTCCGAAACGCGAAACAGGACGATGGAGACAAGAATTGAAAACAAAACTACAAGTAAACTCAATAAAAACTTGTGTGAAAAACAATAGTACGAAAACATACAGTCAATTTGAAAATTAAATATTTCTTTAGGGATAAAGGAAATCTTTTTAAGGGAATGTTAGTAAACATTTCAAAATTTAATTTAAAATTCATCATTAACTATTTAAAAAGACTATCAGAGTTGTGAAGGAAATAAGTGTACTAAAATGAAGCAAGCTAAAAAAAACGCATACAGAAATTCTCAAATTGGAAAAGTATTCTATAAATTCCCACAAATTTTCATCCCGTGCAGCAAAAATTAGTATCGAAGCACCTCAGAAGAAATATATACTGGTTTAAGAAAATGCAGTTTTTAACACCATTACAGAGAGTTACGTATGTCCTTCATACAAACCCAATTTTAAAACTCAAGAATAACAGTTTTTGACGTAAATTGAAATGTACGCACTGCCATTTGTGATATGCAATTGTAAATATTACAACGACAATCACGTAAAACACTACAATTGACTGCAAAGAATACGTGTGACATTCTCACACAAGGAAGAAGTATTTCAAGCCCAAAATAAAGAAATAAATGAATTTAAATAAAAAAAATTAGAAATAAAACTCAAAATTCTTTCTAATAAATCTTCAGAAACATTAGAATCTTAGGAAAAATAACTCCGAGATCTGGAAGCGTCTTTATGAATACATCTTAATAAACAAAAGTTTTGTGAGGTCAAATACTTTGATAAAAAGAAGTCATTGCATAACTAGGAAAGCACTATTAACGGAAACAGAATTCAGAATCTCTGATAAAAACATTTTATAGAGTTACAGTTTAATATCAGGTCATATCAATTTTAAAAAAGAACTAATTTAAATTATAAATAAAAGTTGTAAGATTCTACCTAAAATAAATTTACTTGGAAGGCGATATTTTATCTGGAACTAGAAAGGGACTATTGGCTAAGTTCAACTGTATTAGTAATAAGACGTAAAATGGTGAAAAGATCGTTTTATTTAACTCAAGAACAATACGAACAGATGGTGTTCCTGGTGCTTATAAGAGCTCGCCACTGCATTTGGAGGCAACTAAAAAATAGGAAAAGTTAGATTAAAAATTAATCCTAAGTTGTATAATCAGCCGAAGCTGCACAGAAATAGTTAAAAGCGTAGTTATAAACTAATTAAAAAGTAGAGGAATGATAAATTAAACAATCCCATCCTTAGAATAAAACGAGATAATTAACAAATGAGAGGTGACTAAATTAATTACAGTAAGACATGGTACACGAAAATAAAATAAAATTTTGAACATTATTCTACACTGTCAGTTTTCCTATTTTAACTTCTAATTCGCTTTAAATGTTCTTGGCAGTACGTGTAGAATCCATAAATATTCACTCTTCTGAGAGATAAATATTTCAAAGTAATAGGATTTGTTTCTCGGTTTCTACTTATTTACCTCCTGTGAGGGAAAATGAGGCGCCCATTCGGTAGCGAATATCAGCGTCAGCTTTACTAACTGCTAAAAAAATGCTCCGATAGTTATAAAAACAAATTGTGTCTATATTGTGAATTCAGGTGTATAACAAAGTACTGGAATTCATTTTACTTGGAACTCCAGCGGCTCTGGTTCCTGGCTGAAATTACGTTTTAGCTCAAAAACTGAGAAGAACCGCCCAGTGGGCTCCGGCTGAATCTAAGCTCTGGTTCATGATGAGAATCAATACAAATGCAGGAACTGAAAAATTTGTTCAAAGGTTCAAAGGTAATTTTCATGCGCCCATACGACGTAGACTAAACCAGCCATTAATATAGTAATATAAGTATATTAATATAGTAAGCAGAGTATAGTAATATAGTATATTAGTATAGTAAGCAGAGTATAGTAATATAGTATATTAATATAGTAAGCAGAGTATAGTAATACAGTGAGTAGAGTATATAGTAAGCAAAGTATTAATATAGTAAACCGTAAAATACGAGTAAGCAGAGAGTAAGCAGAGACAGCAATAGCAATAGCTCGTAGTAAGCAGAGACAACGCAATAGCAAAGAAACAACGTGGTCGAAAGGCAGAACACGCTC